GTTTTGGAGATCACCTGATTGTATGTGCTTTTTCCTGATGCGTAGTAACAATACTGATTTTTTTTTTTTTCTTACTACTAATATATATATAAAAAAAATAAGATTTATAGACTAATAATAGAAATCAATACAAAACTAAAGAAACTAAACTATCACAAAATCGCAAAACTAAACACAAAAAAAAAGAAATGTCAAACACAACAAAAACACGTCCACGTTCAAGACGAAGAAAAAAATCCTCGCCATACACCTCTTATTCCTGTGTACAACTGTTGTGCGCATCCATTTACAATCTAAAGGTAAGAAACGAATTTTTTTTTTTTCTATTAATTAATGAATTAGAAGCGTTGGTTAATTATCTCCATAAAGTTTCTATCAGGATCGAATATTTGTATTACGTCCCATAACAGCAAGTACAAAGAACCTCTTTTGACTGGGTTTACTTTTATAAGCCAAGTTTTGTTTGCTTTTACTAACCTGATTTCTTTTCTATCTTTATTATAGCTCTTGATTTCTATGATATAAATGTCCAGCGACAATCTTTTTTGTTTTACACCTGTTTTAGCAGATCTTTGTATGACTTGTCCAGAGGTGGCATAAAAAATACAAGATTGTTTAAAAGGAAGGACCTCATTTTCAAGACGGTTCTTATTCTTGTAACAAGGTCCACCGGGGTCAAATTATCCACCCGCTTTGTTACCTTTAGCATTTCTCTGATATCATCCACATAATTCATCTATTTTAGCACCAATTTCTTGAACCATTCCTGTGGCAGCAGGCTTCATTTCAGTGGGTCTTTCTACTGCATATATGATTATTTAGAATTCATTAGCCTTCCTCAACCATTTTTCACATTCTTGATGCAGGGCTTCTCTTTCTGCAGGTCTTTCAGATAGGGTGCTATTTACTTTCTCATTGCTACTGTCATCACCAACCAACATCTCACGATCACTTTTGTCGTCGGTTTCATCATCGTCAATGTCTTCAAGACTTGTAGGTGAGTTTTGTATTTCCTTTTTCTTCTTTTGATCCAATTCATGTGCTTCTAACTTACTAACGGTATCTACTTCAATCTTTTTAGCTTCAATTTCTTTCTTATAGCCGAGTTCGATCAGATATGTTCTATTAGCATTACCCATATCTGTGGATTTTTGGTAATAAACAAATACGTCGTGATCATTCTTTTCGATACCAATTCCGTTTTGGTAGCAAGGTTCAAGGTCAATTTCGTCAGCAGAACTATCTCTAGCGCCAGTGAGGTGCTCTACAGGACTTTAGCAGTTGTGCCAAGGATTTTTGTATAGCTCCAATTCGTCGCAAAAGCGGTCGTCAAGGATACTTGGTTCGTGGCTCATATTTGTTGGTTTCTGATCACAGGCGAAGGTCTTGAGTGGGTCTTTTTTAACTTTAATTACATTATTTTCATCCTTTTTGACTTCAATTCCACCCAGCTTTTTACCTTCAGTGAGTTTCAAATACCATCCTTTATCCTTTTCAATCTCAATTCCAATTCAGCAGCAATTCTTCCAAGCTTTTATTTTGTCATCACTATCCATCATTGCCGGCTTCGGGTTTGATTTCAGGGGTTTCTT